GGTCTACACATTCTGGCCACAGTTTCTTCCAAGCAGAGTTCATGGTCCTCTTAGTCACTCCCTCCCAAGCCTTACCTATAAGGTTTACACAATTGAGGATATTAAAGTGCTCTCTCCAAAACTCTCTTAGTCAGTTGAGTTTCTGAGGTCACTACAAAGCACCTTTCAAACAGAGCTTTTGTGTACAGTTTTTTGAAGTTTGCAATAACCTGCTGGTCCATGGGCTGCAGGAGAGGAGTGGTATTAGGAGGCAAAAACTTCACCTTAATGAAGCTCATGTCCCCATAAAGTCGCTCTGCCACGTCTGTAGGATGACCAGGGGCATTGTCTAACACCAGGAGGCACTTAAGGTCTAATTTCTTTTCAGTTAGGTAATCTTTCACATTGGGGGCAAATGCATGGTGTAACCAGTCACAGAAAAAGTCCCTAGTGACCTATGCCTTACTGTTTGCCCTCCACAGCACACACAAATTAGCCTTGAGGATATTTTTTTGCCTGAACGCTCTGGGAGTTTGAGTGATACACTGATAAAGGCTTCACTTTGCAATCACCACTAGCATTGGAACACATCAACAGAGTAAGCCTGTCTTTCATAGGCTTATGTCCTGGGAGTGCCTTTTCCTCCTGAGTAATGTAGGTCCTGCTTGGCATTTTCTTCCAAAACAGGCCTGTTTCATCACAATTAAACACTTGTTCAGGTTTCAGTCCTTCACTGTCTATGTACTCCTTGAATTCCTGCACATATTTTTCAGCTGCTTTGTGGTCCAAACTGGCAGCCTCACCATGCCTTATCACACTATGTATGCTACTACGCTTCTTAAATCTCTCAAACCAACCTTTGCTGGCCTTAAATTCACTCACATCATCACTAGTTGCAGGCATTTTTCTAATTAAATCCTCATGCAACTTCCTAGCCTTTTCACTTATGATCACTTGAGAGATGCTATCTCCTGCTATCTGTTTTTCATTTATCCATACCAATAAGAGTCTCTCAACATCTTCCATCACTTGCGATCTCTGTTTCGAAAACACAGTTGAACCTTTGGCAAGAACAGCTTCCTTGATTGCCGTTTTGTTGCCCACAATAGTAGCGATGGTTGATTGGGGTTTATTATACAACCTGGCCAGCTCGGAGACACGCACTCCACTTTCATACTTATCAATGATCTCTTTCTTCATCTCTATAGTAATTCTCACCCTTATTGCTGTAGGGTTGGCACTAGAAGCTTTCTTGGGGCCCATGGTCACTTATTTTGCAGATAAAATCACCAAAAACACTGTAATAATATGAAATGTTCCGATTGTATGCTTCTTGGATGTTACCGCGGAGGCTGGCTGGTAAACATTGCCACCCACGGAACATGTGAGGCTGGCTCAGGCCGCACATTAGACGCGTCTCGGACGAACAGCGTTGAGCGGGTTTTTTAGCGGTATGCAAGGCAAAATCTTAGCGATAAAATGTATCAGTATGCGGATTTAACGTTATGTAAGGCCAACGGTATGCGGGGGTCCACCGTAATTGTCTTCTTGTTCTTGTAATTCTGAAAATTATTGTTCATATACCCTTAAAAGGACCCAAAATCAGGAACTCACTGACAATTATCTCCAGAGCCACTCTCTCTGCCAGCATCTTCAAAACTACTGTTAAAAAACAATTTCACTAACATACCCCATAAACTAAATATGATGAAACTGTAGTTCCGTATTCTCATTACCACAAGCCTATGAAGAACAACGTATTCTTATTCTCAGTATCTGTAATCCTCGCAACTATTAAATATATTGAAAGTATTTAGAATATGCTCATATGCTGGAATCCTCATTACCTGTAATCATAAGCCAACCTGTAATCCTTAAAACAATTAAACTCTATAAAAGTGATCCTTGTAATTTCTAAATTTATTGTTACAATCACTTACAAACTGTATTTATAAGCAGTCAATCAATTATTGCCTTATTAGTCATAAGACAGGCTTAAGTTTGCCCAAAATGCTCTGTATACTAAGGGGCTTTCTGCATGCACACCTAAATGTCACCCATCTCTGTACAAACATTGTATCATGTTGCAATAAAGAATCTTTATTCTCTTAATGTTTTTATATACATATAAGCAATTAATCAGTTACTGCCATTGTAATCTTAAGTTAGGCTTAAGACTGCCTGAAATGCTCTGCATAACTATGAGCTTTCAGCATGGACAACTAAATGTTTCCCATCTCTGTACAAACATTATACCATTCTGAAATAAAATATTATTATTATTATGTTTATAATGAACTTTTAAATTTTGGGGCAAAATCCACTAGTGAAATGGTACGTTTGCCTCCTTTATTTTCAGTGTTTATTACAGTATATCTGTCAATGTGTTTTTTTTTTTCCAACAAGTCGGCTGTCTCCCACCAAGGCAGGGTGACCCAAAAACAAAGAAAATCCCCATTTAACACTTTCACCTCACTCATACATAATCACTGTTTTTGCATAGGCCCTCAGATACAACAGTTTAGAAGCATTTATAAAGAGATATAACATATCCCTCCAAACTGCCAGTATCCCAAACCCCTCCTTTAAAGTGCAGGCATTGTACTTCCCATTTCCAGAAATTCAAGTCCGGCTATATAAAAATAACCGGTTTCCCTGAATCCCTTCACTAAATATTACCCTGCTCACACTCCAACCGCTTGTCTGGTCCCAAAAGCCATTTGTCTCCATTCACTCCTAACTAACACGCTCACGCACGCTTGCTGGAAGCCCAAGCCCCTTACCCACAAAATCTCCTTTACCCCCTCCCTCCAACCTTCTTGAGGACGACCCCTACCCTGCCTTCCTTCCCCTACAGATTGATATGCTCTCCATGTCATTCTACTTTGATCCATTCTCTCTAAATGGCCAAACCTCTTCAACAGCCCTTCTTCAGCCCTCTGACTAATACTTTTATTAACCCACACCTTCTCCTAATTTCCACACTCCAAATTTGCGGTGTAATATTTACACCACAAGTTGCCCTTAGACAGGACATCTCCACTGCCTCCAACCACCTCCTCACTGCAGCATTTACAACTCAAGCTTCACACCCATATAAGAGAGTTGGTACCACTATACTTTCATACATTCCCTTCTTTGCCTCCATAGGTACCGTTTTTTGTCTCCGCATATACCTCAATGCACCACTCACCGTTTTTCCTTCATCAATTCTATGGTTAACCTTTTCCTTCATAAACTCATCCGTTGACATGTCAACTCGCAAATATCTGAAAACATTCACTTCTTCCATGCTCCCTTTCTCCAGTGTGATAATCAATTTTTCTTTATCTAAATCATTTGATACCCTCATCACCTTACTCTTATCTATGTTTACTTTCAACTTTCTACCTTCCACACCCTCCCAAACTCCCCCACTAACCTCTGCAGCTTTTCTTTAGAATCTCCCATAAGCACAGTATCATAAGCAAAAAGTAACTGTCAACTCCCATTTTGTATTTGTATTTTTGCATTTACAGTGGACCCCCGGTTAACGATTTTAATCCGTGCAAGAGGGCTCATCGTTATGCGAAATAATCGTTATGCGAATGAATTTTCCCCATAAGAAATAATGGAAATAAAATTAATCCGTGCAAGACGCCCAAAAGTATGAAAAAAATTTTTTTTTACCACATGAAATGTTAATTTTAATACACACAAACTGAAAAAGGCATGCACAATTACATGACACTTACTTTTATTGAAGATCTGGTGATGATTGATGGGATGGGAGGAGGGGAGAGCATTATCTTCTTACTGTTTAGAAGGGGAATCCCCTTCCATTAGGACTTGAGGTAGCAAGTCCTTTTCTGGGGTTACTTCCCTTCTTCTTTTAATGCCACTAGGACCAGCTTGAGAGTCACTGGACCTCTGTCGCACAACAAATCTGTCCCATAGAGCTCTGTACCTCCCGTTCCTTCAAGACTTTCCTAAAATGGGCCATAACATTGTCATTGAAATAGTCACAAGCACGGCTTGCAACAGCTGTGTCAGGGTGATTTTCATCTATAAAGGTTTGCAGTTCAACCCACTCTGCACACATTTCCTTAATCTTTGAAGTAGGCACAATGGATTCCACAACTGGCATAGGCTTCTCAGGGTTAGCCCCAAACCCTTCAAAATCTTTCTTAATTTCCATACTAATTCTCACCCTTTTAAACCACAGGGTTGGCACTAGAAGCTTTCTTGGGGCCCATGGTCACTTATTTTCCAGAAACAGCACCGAAAATACTGTAATAATACGAAATATTCCGAGTGTATGCTTGGATGTTACCGCGGAGGCTGGCTGGTAAACAATGGGACGGAGCGGCACATGTGAGGCTGGCTGAGGGCACATTGGACGCGTCTCGGACGAAAATCGGTATGCGGGTTTTTAATCGGTATGCGCGGCAAAAATTTTGCGATAAAAGTAATCGTTATGCGGAAAAATCGCTATGCGATGCCATCGTTATGCGGGGGTCCACTGTATATTTGTGTGTAGAGTTCTATATTAGGTGTACAGTAAAGCACTGTATTGCAGTTTTTGCTATCTTTAACATTATTCTGATTTAATGGACACTCGGACAATCCCCCTATTAGTACATTGTATTGAGAGTTTACTGTATATAAAATATCTTATTCTCTAATAGAGAAGATCAGTGATCATCTGGGCTCACGAGATTTTCAGTTCTATTTAATCAAATCGTATTTTTCAATCCCTTGGTTTGGCACATTTATTTTTTACATTATCTGCTTTGAGAGTGAATTGAATAAGACAGCAGGATAATGGTGAAAGCTGAAAAACCAATTGCAGGACAAACAATGATTACTATACTGTACAGAATTTCTTATCTAAATTTTTGACTTATGACTGATTTAAAAACTAAATGAAGAAATTTTGAATCCAGTTCATCTGCAGTAATTAAATATGGTTAGTGTTCAAAATAGCATTGAACCTATTCTTACAAAAGAGCTTAAGATTCATTTATTAATATTTCATTCAGATTGAATTTACTGCAATGCGGGACCAGTACATGAGATGTGGAGAAGGTTTCTTAATATGTTACTCCCTCACGGACCGTCGTAGCTTTGAGGAAGTTGCAGGCTACAGAAAGCTTATTGCTAAAGTTCGTGCTGCAGATTCCATACCAATTGTTTTGGTTGGGAATAAAGTAGATTTAGATGATCCTGTGCACAGAAAGGTAAGCTGATTTGTACGTTGGTCTTTTGAACTCTTAAAGTTGGGTGCCTTGGCACTGGTGAAGGGTTATTGATTCAAGGACTTGGAGCAACATTCCCCTTACTTGAATCATGCATGAGTGCTTCCCATTCACTAGGTCCTACATGTGACACCTATGCATTTAGTTCTGCACCATTAAAAATTTTATTTTGAAGTAGTCAGTGATACTTAAAATATTAAATTAGTTTATTACACTTAAAAAATTGATATAGTAGTGAATTTTTGGCAAATATTTTTAAGAGATTTTTTTGTATCAAATCTTAAGCATTTTCATTTAAACATCAGTCAACCTCAGTCAGTGTGCATTTGTATTTCTCCTGACTCATCAATCTCAAGAAAACTCTCAGTGAATCTTTCTTAATTTATACTTATTTCCTTTATCTCTTTCACTTACAGTGCATAACACTGTACTTACTATGATATTTTACTCTTGTGACAAGTATATCTGTTTACAATAATGTATTATCACTGATTTCATCATTGCTTAGTTAATTTTAAGCCAGCCCGTAATGCTATGCATAGTATAAGTGGCTTTGGCATGCTGCTCTTATCTGTATTTTTTTGTACCTCTGTATGTATGCTCAAATTGTTAATAAATAAATAAATAGTCCTGAGGATCACCACTTTCCAATGTTCAAATAATCTTAACAACAACAACAGTAATAATAATTTTTAAAAATGCATAACTGTTACAAGATTGTGTTAATGAGGAACAAAAAGACACAGTACTGTGACTGGAACAATACACAGATAAACCTGCACATAGAAGCTTATGACAATGTTTCGATCCAGCTTGGACTGTTGACTAGTCACACTAACACACAAGTGAGGGAGCTAGTATACATATAGGAGAGGAAGACAGGGAGGGAAGAAGAAAGGAAGTGGAGAAGTAGTGGTGTAGGTAATGTGGTAGTGGAAGTAGTAGTAGTGGAAGTAGTGGTAGTGGTAGTAGTGGTTGTAGTGGTAGTGGTGGTAGTGGAAGTAGTAGTGGTAGTGGTAGTAGTGGTGGTAGTAGTGGTAGTGGTAGTAGTAGTGGTGGTAGTAGTAGTAGTAGTAGTAATGGCACAAGAGACAGGAAGTGAAGTGAGGCAATAATAGTAGTAGTAGAAGTGGAGCAAATATGAAGGCAACAGAAATGAGCACTGCAGGAAAACTAATGGCCCACGAGGTTGACACCAAAAACACGGGAAAAAACTGAAGGACAGAACACACCTAGGCAGATGAAAGGAAGACAGAGAAAATACAGAAAAGGAGAGGAGGTAGGGAGAGGAGAAAAGATCAGATCAAGTCACGAGTGTTCTGAAGTTTGGAGCATTTGACAATATAATAAGAAAGGAGGGCATCTACAGAGACAAAGCCAGAACTAAGATTCATATTAGGAAAATTGTATACAGGGATGCTTCAACAAGACTGCATGTTTGAAGGCTAGAAGAAGAATAGGCAGTTTTAGTAGAGGACCAGTCAGTAGGATGACTGTCATCTCTAACATGACAGAAAAGAGCATTATTGGTGTCAGCAAGTCAACACTTCTTTTGTGCTCTAAGTCTGTCAGAAAGAAAGTGGCCAGTTAATTCAAAGTTTTAAAGAGGACAAGATAAGCAGGAAACAGACTCCAGAAGCATCAATAGCAGAAGAGGTACAAACTAGATTAATGCAAAGGGTGTTAGTTTGGTGAAAAGTTTGATTTCTAAGGAATAGAGAAATTTGTTGAGATTAGAATGACTGGAAGTAGGGAAGGCAGAGAACAGGAGATTTCACAGGAATAGAGAGTTTGGGAGAGAAGATCAGTTTAGCACGTGAGAAAGCAGAATTTATGAAATCGGAAAGGTAGCCAAGACAATGAATTGTGAAAAGTGGAAATTTCTGACTCGAGGAACTAAGGGTCACAAGTGTGGAGGACACAGAGGGAGCATGGTAAGAAAAATAGTGAATGTACATGTCATTGTGTAAAAACTTGCCATAAACAGAAAAAGAAAAGCCTGTAGCTGAGCGATGGACATGTACATCCAAGGAAAGGAAAGGAAGCAAAGACTTAGATTCCCACTCACCTTTGGACATGATGAAAGGAGAAAGATTGTTAAGGGCATTGAGAAGTGGTTAAAAAGGACTAGATTCATGAGGCCAAAGAGCAAAGATGTCATGAACATAGCGGAGCCAGAGGGAAGGGCACACACCAATAGAGGGAAGTAGAACAGTTTCAAACTACAGTGGTACCTTAATATTTGAACTTAATCCATTCTAGGAGGCTGTTCAAATAGTGAGTTGCATGAGTGTTGAATCGGTTTTTTTCCATAAGAAGTAATGTAAATTGGATTAATCTGTTCCAGTCTCCCAAAAATTACCAATTGTAAAACATTTTAAGTGAAATATTGCTTAATTAACCCTTTCACTGTTGAGACCCCTGCTTACAAACTTGCTATCAGTGTTGAAAAATATTAAAAAAAAATTATTTTTTTCTTACCAAAATCTTAAGGATAATTTCCTGCTACTCACTCTTTAATATTATTTTTACTTTTATTTTATATTTTTTCTAATACAGTGTATTTTATTTTTCAAGTAACCTTTGTGGCCTGTGAGACCAATATACTGCATAATGTTTATACAGTGGACCCTCTAATTTTGTGATTAATCCGTTCCAGAGAGTCTGCCGAAAGTCGAAATTCATGAAAATCGAAACCATTTTTCCCATAAGAAATAATATAAATCCAATTAATCTGTTTTGGACACCCAAAAGTATTAACAAAAAATAAATTTTTTAGATATTAAATATAGATTTACATACAGAAAACAATGAGAAATTAATATAAAGCAAAATAAAATGTACAAACGAACATTTAACATCACACTTACCTTCATTGAAGACACTTGTTGGTGTATGGCAGACGGGGATGGGGGGGGAGGCAAGTTTATTGTTTGGAGACAGGACAATATGCTTCAATATGACGCTAATATCAACTCTACAGCTTATTTATCTATCACAGTTCATCTAATATGACATAATAAACAATATTAATAACACAGAAACATGATATATAGTCTAGAATGAATAAATTATGTCATTACATATGACTAGTGGTTCTTTGTTGTTGGGTTATCAGGGCCACTGGCAGCATAAGCCATATAGTGGTGGCAGCGGCGGTGTTGTCAGTGGCCCTATATACCTCCAATAACATTGGAGGAGTTAAATTTCGTGTCGTTCTTTTTCTGTTGCTTAATCGCTTAACTTACTTCCTACACTGTTAATGCTACACTTTATCACTGGCTGGTGCTATAGCCTTTATCAGCTTGTGCTGCTTTGGTATTGTATATATCGTAGAATCACTGAATCACTGAAGAAGGCACATTCTCCCCTCTCTCTTCCTCCTCCACTTGAGTATTTCACTACGATTTCTTTTTTTAATTCTATCGTGTTTCTCACCTTCCTTACCAAAGGGCTGACACTAAGAACTTTCTTTTGGCCCATGGTGGCTTATTTAGCAGTTGCAAGCACAAAAAACAATGGATTATTACGAAATGCCAGACTGACTCTTGAATGCGTCTGTGGGAGGCTTTGTATGCGTGGGGCCACTGGGGGACATACCGGACGGCCTCCGAATTTAGAGGGAAGTCACGAAAATAGAGGCTACATTTTGATGAAAAAAGTTGCCAATAATCGAAATTCACGAAAATAGAGCCTCACAAAATTAGAGGGTCCATTGTATATCCGCTCGTTGTTGTTTTTTTTATTATTTTTTATTAACCCTTTGACTGTCGTAACCCCAAATCCTGAGGTGTCTCCTGGTGTCGCAAAATTTCCCCTAAAAAAAAAAAATATTTTTTCTTGTGAAATGATGGAGAATCTTTTCCCGATTGTAATGACACCAAAAGAATGAAATTTGATGGAAAACTGACGGAATTACGCTCTCACAAAGTTAGCGACCTCGGCAATATTTAGAATCGGCAATTTCGCCCACTTTGAGCCCTATTTTCTGCTAATTCCATTGTTCCAGTCGACCAAACTCATAGCTATTTCTTTAGAACTCCATTTTTTTTTCTATAAATTGAGTACAAGAAACTGCACTGTTTGCTGCAGGATTTTTTATATGGTGCACACTGACCACACAGACCCATTCTCTCACATGTGGGCCTACCAGCTTTCTCCTGCTTAATTTGAAGCTGCTGGAATTTATGAGCATATATATGTCAAAAACGGTGGCCCGTAAGACGTATATATATGACCAAAACAGTCAAAGGGTTAAAAAAGTCAGTGACTCATTTCCATATGGGCGGTGGGGAAGACAGCACGCTTATTGGGGAAGATGGTATGGGTGGTGGTGGTGGTGGTGGTTTTGTATTGCATCATTTAACACCAGCCATGCTGCTCTCAGCACAACAACAAAGGCTATACCTTCAACCATCCACATATACACAACCTTCCACAAGCTGTAGCAGTTCTAAGAACGTGTCCAGTGACTCTATATGTGTATATATATAGTACAGTGGACCCCCGCATAACGATATTAAGCCGTTCATGAGAGCTCATTGTTATGCGAAATTATCGTTATGCGAATGAATTTTCCCCATAAGAAATAATGGAAATCAAATTAATTCGTGCAAGACACCCAAAAGTATGAAAAAAAAAATTTACCACATGAAATATACATTTTCCTACACACAAAGAGAAGGATACATGCACAATAGTAGAGTAGTACATGCACAATATAAATTGTGCATGTACTACTCTACTAAATGAAGAATAAATGACACTTACCTTTATTGAAGATGCAGCAATGACTGATGAGACACTGTGTTCTGGGAGTGCCTTTTCCTCCTGAGTACTGTAGGTCCTGTTTGGCATTTTCTTCCAGAACAGGCCTTATCACACTGTGTATGTCACTACGATTCTTAAATCTCTCAAACCAACCTTTGCTGGCTTTAAATTCACCAATATGAGCACTAGTTCCAGGCATTTTTCCCTGTTCA